GGTGCCTCACGGGACGCCGCAAAGCTCCCCGAGTGGGAGTGTCGCCGCGGAAGGACGAGGCGCCTGTGGGGCAGGCTCAGCACAGCACCGCGTGAAGCAGGGTGTGAGCTCAGCACGGCACTCTTTTTCTTGGAGCTCAACGCCCGCACAGCCTTGGTGAAAAAAGACACCGCAGCGGCGGCTGGGAAACCACTGTTGGCAGTGAGGGAGACCTCACTGACCGAAAGAGTACCTCCAGCAGCCCCATGGGCTAGGAGGCGCTGGCCACACGACCCACTGGCCTTGCTGGAGGCGTGCGAGTGCAGGCGGTGGGAAAAGACGGCCGCTTCTGGGGGCGAGCCCGGCACGCTGCCACGCGCGCCGCGTGGTGGGTTCGGCACGCCAGCGTGCGACCCGCTGGCTCTTCGGGGGCCGCGCGGCCCTCCCGGGCAGGGCAGTGGCCGGGGAAGAGCTCGAAGGCTCGTCACCTTGCCATGCGGGGCGTGACCTGAGCTCCGCACGGCGCTGTGCGAGCCACTGGCCCTGCTGGAGCCGTGGGTGCGAGAGGAGGGAGGAGGGAGGAGGGAGGAGGGAGGAGGGAGGAGGGAGGAGGGAGGAGGGAGGAGGGAGGAGGAGGAGGAGGAGGAGGAGGAGGAGGAGGAGGAGGAGGAGGAGAGTGGCAGGAACAGGGAGCCGTCTTCGGGGCGGGCTCAGCACGTGGCCGTGCGAGCCACGAAGCGAGCTGAGCAGGGCACCGGGCGGAGCCGCTCGAAGCAATGCCGCCGTGCGAGGTGAGCTCGGCACGCCACCGCGCGAACCGGCGGCTCTGTTAGGACCCGTGCGCGGGAAGGCGAGCAGGTCGGGAGGGCGTGGGCGAACTCGGCACGTTGCCACACGGGCCACGAGGTGAGCTCACCTCCCCTGGCACTGGGAGCAGGGGGAGGAGCAGGGGAGGACGAGAAGCATGAAAATCAGGAGGAGGAGGAGGAGGAGGAGCCGAGGCGTCAGTCTCGGCCTTCGCGAGCAGGAGCACGACCACCTCGTTGTCCGGCGGCCTGGCCGACGCGAGAGGCCCTGGAGCGACGCAGGGGGCCAGGGGGCGCGCACCTCCTCCGGCAGCCGGGGCCGGGGACACTCGCACAGCAGTGCCACGGGAGGTGAGCTCAGCACGGCACCATGCGAGCCACCACAGACTCGGGGCCGTGCGCGCCCACGACAAAAAAAACGGTCCGTCTCTGGGGCGCGGCGGCGGCGAGCTCGAGATGCGGGTCTGCGCTCCTCTGCAGGTGGGCTCGGCACGCCACCGTGTGGGCTGCCGGCCAGACGGGGGCGAACGCCTGCGGCATTGGGACTGGTCCAGATCTGCCTGGGCAGTGGTGTGGCTCCTGATCCGCCGTACTTTGGATGATTTTCCGACCTAAAATTGTGTCGGAAATCGACGCCAAAGGAGCCTCAAGGGCGGAAATCGACGCTCAAAGGGGCCTCAAAAGTAGGGCGGAAATTTCCGCCCTACTTTCGAAATCGCCCAAAGTAGGGCGGATCAGGAGTCAGGGTGTTCGGTCGGTTCTCCGGTTGTCCGCTTCAGGACCTGGCGGGACGCTGGAAGGCTTGGGACATCTCGAGGCCTCTTGGGCCCCTTCTGGGGCCTTCCTGGGGGCCTCGTGGCCGCGCGTGCGGGGGTGTTCAGATTAGGTCGGGCGTGTCCCTTTGCAGGCGGAGTCTGGACGACAAATAAAACACACACCGAACATATCTAAACAAACATGAAAAAGTCTCCTTACTATTTCTGGACTATGTTTGAATACTCCCCCTTGTAGAGGGACAGGCCCGACTTAACGTTAAGAGGAGGAAGTCGTGGGTGGACTGAGCACGCTACCAAAGCGAGCCACGAAGAGCGCTCGGCGCGGCACCGTGCGAGCCACTCGCAAGATGATGGCCGTGCGAGGTGAGCTCAGCACGCCACCATGCGAGCCACCGGCGGAGGACATGGGACGCACAGAAGGCACACTCCAGATTTCGTAATAAAGGGAGGGGGGTCTCATTTCGGGGGGGGTCTCTTCCAGGCTATCTTGGAGGGCCCGGGGGGTCTGGGGACGATGTTTTGGAGGGTTCTCCCACGGGGGAGGTCTGAAATGGCTTGTCTTGGAGGGTCCAGACCCCCTCCCTTTTATTACGAAATCTGGAGTACTCGTACTATAGGTTTTCCTTGGCGGCGCGCGTCCGCTCCGAACATATGGTATACCCATAGTGTAGTGCATCGTTTCGCGAGCGGCGTGGCCAGAAAACGCCCGCCACGACGCATGTACTATAAGATTTCTCGGTGCGCGCGTCGCCCCTTGGGGGGCGACGCTCGTCTAGTATAAGTATGTTGGTGTGACGCCAAGGAGAGGCGTGCGTGACTTAGAACGGGAAAAAAGATTATATGGGGCGCATTGGGTTGGTTCCCGTGTTGTTCGTTGGACGTTGTGGAGTTTTGTCGGGGCGCCTGCGGCCATCCTGGGGGCCTCTGGGGCAATCTGGAGGCCCTCTTGGGGACCCCTGGGAGCGTCCTGGGAGCCTTGTTCGGGCGTCTTGGGGCATCCTGGAGCTTCCTGGCAGCGACGTGGGGGCTGCTTGGGGCCTCTTGGGCGCCTCTTGGGGCCTCCTGGGGGGGTCTTTGGGCGGGGAGCTCGCAAAAGTCGGTCCCGGCTCCTCCTCGGGGGCCCCTCTTGGGGCGCTCCTGGGGCGTTCTCGGGCTGTCTTGGAGGTTTCGCTCGGCCGTCTCCCTCCTCCCTCCTCCCTCCTCCCTCCTCCCTCCTCCCTCCTCCCCCCTCCTCCTCCTCCTTCCTGCCTCCTTCCCTCCTCCCTCCTCCCTCCTCCCCCTCCTCCCATCCCTCCCTCTCCCTCTCCTCCACCACCTCCTCCTCCTCCTCCTCCTCCTCCTCCTCCCCCTCCTCCTCCTTCCCTCCTCCTCCTCCCCCCTCCTCCTCCTCCTGATCCTCCTCCTCCCCTCCTCCTCCTCCTCCTCCTCCTCCTCCTCCTTCCTCCCCCTCCCCCTACCCCCCTCCCAAGCCCCCCTCCCCCAACCTTCCCTTCCGACGCCCCGCCGCGGATTTTCCCTTTTCCCCTATCTCCCCTCCCCCCTTTGTGCGGTGGCGGCGTGCGAGATGGTGTTGTGTTTGCCTCCCCATTCCCCATCCCCTTCCCCATTCCCCTTCCCCTTTCCCCTTCCCCTACACCCTTCCCCCATCCCCCTAACCCCTTCCCCTTCCCCTTCAAGCCCCTTCCCCATCCCCTTCTCCTACCCCATCCCCCTATCCCCATCCCCTACCCCTTCCCCTTTCCCCTATTCCCCCCTCCCTTCCCCAAACCCCCCTTCATTCTACCCCCTACCTCCACATCCCCATCTCCCCTTCCCCTTCCCTCCCCTCCCCATCCCCTTCCCCCCTTCCCCTTCCCCTTCCCCTTCCCCTTCCCCGTTTCCCTCTTCTCCCTTCGCCCTTCACCCTTCCCCTTACCCCTATCCCCTTTTCCCTTGACCCATTTCCCATCCCTTTCCCTTCCCTTCCCCTCCCTCCCCTTCCCATCCCATCCCTACCTCTTCCCAACCCTACCCTTCCCTTCCCATCCCTTCCCTTCCCTTCCCATTCCCTTCCCTTCCCTTACCCCATGGGGGGCCTCTCCTCCCTCCCTACCCACCCTCCCTCCCCTCCCCACCCCTCCTCCACCTCCTCCTCCTCCTCCTCCTCCCTCCTCCACCTCCTCCTCCTCCTCCTCCTCCTCCTCCTCCTCCTCCTCCTCCTCCTCCTCCTCCTCCTCCTCCTCCTCCTCCTCCCCGAGCCTTGGCCTGCGCCGAGGGCTTGGCCTCACGTGCGATAAGGGCAGCATAACTGTAGGAGGACATGCCCGACTTAAAGATGGCCGCGCGGGCGCGCGGAGGAGGCTCGCCCCTCGCGCGGCGCGGGCCGGGCCGGGCGGATGTTTCTCGCCAGGGGGCCGCGGAGGAGGAGGAGGAGGAGGAGGAGGAGGAAGAGGAGGAGGAGGAGGAGGAGGAGGAGGATAGGAGGAGGAGGAGGAGAGGAGGGAGTGGAGGATGAGGAGAGGAGGAGGATCAGGAGAAGGAGGAGGAGAGGAGGAGAAGGAGAGGGAGGAGGAGGAGGAGGAGGGGAATCGGAGGATCAGGAAAGGAGGAGGAGGATCAGGAGAATGAGGAGGAGGAGAGGTAGGAGGGGAGGGAGAGGAGGAGAAAGGAGGAGAAAGGAGGAGAAAGGAGGAGGAGGAGGATGTTTTCGTTCTCCCTGGTTCTGTCGTCGTCCCGCCCCGGCTGCAAAACGAAATCGGAACGAAAACGGTAGGTACTCGACATCGCAAACCAAGCAAATAGCCTTATGTTGCCCCCAACGTACTTGAGGACCACATCCCAAAAATAAGTTCGAGCGCCCGGAAAAGTGTCGAAAGAGTGTCGAAAGAGTGTCGAAACAGTGTCGGACGAGTGTCTCCCAGGGCCCGACATGTGAAAACCCTCGAGTTTCGGCACTTTTCTGGTGCTCGAAATTCTTTCCAGTAGGTTGGAACCACATAATCCTACAGGCGGATTTTGACAGAGGAGTGAAACAATAGTCAACAACATGCGCAGACATAGCAAAACGAATAGTAGCAACATCGTCCCCAGACTATGTTTTACTATCTTTGAGTATTCCTCCTGTAAAAGGGCATGCCCGACCCAAGGCTACCTCGCGCGCCCCCGCGGGTGACCTGACCGAGCGCGGCCTATCTCGCGCGCCCTCGCGCGGCCTGTCTCGCGGCGCCCTTGCGCGGCCATCTACAAGAGGCCCCACCACAAGAAACCTTCCACAAGAAACCCAACCCCGAGACCCCAGGACGTCCACCGATTTTCGTGGGGCGGGAACGCCGCGCCTCCCACAGCAGAAACCGTCGAAGCCCAGGACACCCAGGGCTCCCTGGAGGCCAGCAGGGTGCTCCTTGGCCTGGGCCTCCCCTGTGCACCTCGCGCGCCCCCGCGAGCCCCGGGGCTCCGAGGCTGTCCTTCAGCGCTGCCGCCTCGCCCGGGCCCAGCGGCACGCACAGCTCCTCGTTGCCCCCCGGCGCCGCCGCCAGCGGCAGGCTCAGCGCCTCGTCCGGGAGGGCCTCGTTCCAGCGCGCGGCCCGGGTCTCCGCCTGCAGGCCTGCGGGGGGGGGGGGCGCTGGCCGTGCGCCAGCACCGAGCCTGGTCCAGACCAGCCTGGGCCCAGCTGTGCGACAGTGCGTGCGTGCGTGCGTGCGTGCGTGCGTGCGTGCGTGCGTGTGTGTGCGTGTGTGTGTGTGTGTGTGTGCGAGTGCGAGTGCGAGTGCGTGTGCGTGTGCGTGTGCGTGTGCGTGTGCGTGTGCGTGTGCGTGTGCGTGTGCGTGTGCGTGTGCGTGTGCGTGTGCGTGTGCGTGCGTGTGCGTGTGTGTGTGTTTGTGTGTGTGTGTGTGTGTGTGTGTGGGTGGGTGGGTGGGTGGGTCGGGGGTGGTGGTGGTGGTGGTGTGTCTGTGTGTGTGTGGCTGTGGTGTGTGTGTGTGCGTGTGTGCGTGCGTGCGTGCGTGCGTGCGTGCGTGCGTGCGTGTGCGTGTGCGTGTGTGTGTGTGTGTGTGTGTGTGTGCGTGTGTGTGTGTGTGTTTGAGTGTTTGTGTGCTCGTGTTTGTATGTGTGTGTGATTGTGCTTGTGCTTGTGCTTGTGCTTGCGCTTGCGTTTGTGATTGTGATTGTGATTGTGATTGAGTTTGTGGTTGTGGTTGTGTTTGTGCTTGTGCTTGTGCTTGCGTGTGTCTTGTGTGTTTGTGTGTGTGTGTTTGTGTTTGTGCTTGTGCTTGTGGTCGTGTTTGAGTTTGTGGTTGTGGTTGTGGTTGTGTTTGTGTGTGTGTTTGTGCTTGAGTTTGTGTGTGTGTGTGTGTGCGTTCGACCTCCCGACCTGGCCGGGATGGCAAATTTGCATGAGGGAAACGGGTCCTACAGTCGAAACGCTGTCATAAGGAACCCTGAATAAGGAACGAGGCCCCTTTTTTCCATAAGTTAAATTTCGATTTCGCATAGAAAACCAAGGGACAACCTAAGACTAACTGTACAACAATCAAGGAACACTGAGCCCCTCCCCAACGAAAAGGGCTCCCTCTTCAGCTTCCCGACTGCAGACTCCGGGGCCTTCCCCGAAGACCAGTCCTTCATCCCGAGTCGTTCTCTGACGGTCCCGGGACCCAGGGCGGTCCCCTGATGAACGGAAACGGCGAAACCAGCCTCAGGACCATTTCCCATGCGACATCTGGACCTCTTCAAATACGAAATCCCTGCTTTCCCCAGGGCCAGGTTTTCATCCCGAGCTGTTTTCTGACGGTTCCGAGGCCCGGCGAGGGCCCCCAAAGGCCGAAAACGGTGTTTTTCCTGTTCGTTGTTCGTTTTCCCTCGTTTTGTCTTCGCTCCGCCTCCGCTGCAAGACGAAGTCAAAACGAAAACGGTCCACAAAATCGCAAAGGCACTGTTTAAGGCGAACCCTGGCAGAAATCCCACCAGCCTTCTGGCAGTAGGTGGTCTAACGGTATCTTTCTTCCCTCTTCCAAAAACCCCTCTTCCCCTTCGGTGAAGGGTTTGCCCTTCCCCCTCCCCCCTCCCCCTATCACCCTACCCCCTAATCCCTTCCCTATTACCCCTCCCCCTACCTCCTTCCCTACTACCCCTCCCCCTTCCCTATTACCCCTCCCCCTACCCCCTCCCCTGGACCTGGACGGGGAGGGGACGGAGGTGTCAGAGCGCCCAAGATGGCCCAAGATGGCTCCAAGAGGATCTCCGATGCTCCAGGATGGCCTCCATAATGCCTCAAGGTACCGCAAGATCGTTCGAGATGGGTTCCAACATGCCTCCAAGAGGCTACAAGGGCCACAATACGGTTCCAGGTGCTTTGGGCGACCCCTCAGGATCTCCCCGAGAAGCCCAAATCCCCCCAAAACCTGCAGAGAATCACAAATTTTTGCCTTCTGGCCTTTTCGCTTACGATGCGCTTTTGAGGCCTCAAGATGGCCCTAAGATGGCCCAGTTGAGCTCCAAGAAGGGTCCAATATGCCTCCAAGACTGCCTCGAGAGCGCCCAATATCGCCCCAAGAGGGCCCCAAGAGCGCCCCAAGAGGCTATTTCGATGGCCCCGAAGGGGGGAGGCAAATCTAGGACCTGGCCCCCTCCTTTGATCGATGGTCTCCAAGATGGCCCCAAGAGGCGTTCCATAGCTCCCAAGAGGGCCCCAGGAGAGCCCCAAGAGAGCCCCAAGAGGGCCCCAGGAGAGCCCCAAGGCGCCCCAAAAGAGCCCCAAGAGGACACCAAGACCTCCCAACGAGCCCCAAGAGGGCCCCAAGATGCCCGAAGACAGCCCCGTAGCTCCAAGAAGGCCTCCGATGCTCCAAGATAGCCTCCAAAATGGCTCAACACCCTCCTTTCCTCTCCTCTCCTTGCACGCTCGGTTTCACTGTACGTGTCTCTTCGTCCATTCTCCCGTCAGCTCTCGTGGGCGGGGCTTCTTAGTTCGGGGGTTGCTGCCCCTGGCCCAAGGCGCCCCCAGCTTTTCGCTCCATTTTGGAGCTCCTGGGGCCCTCTGGACCTCGTGAGGGGTGATCTGGAGGCCGCAGTGGCCTCCTCGAAAATCCTGGGGGGCACCTTGGGCCAGTGGCACCTCTAGCAGCACCCGATTCGTGGGCGGGCGGGGATTCTTGTTGGCACGCGGGCGCGCGAAGCGGGCCGAACGCCGGGCGGGCAGGGGCAGGCTGTGCCACCAGCTAGAAAGGAAAAACACAGCAGCGAGCAGCGCCAGGCGCGGGCCGGAGCTCCGCGCGGCCATCGTGGCGCGAGGGGCTGGAGGGGGATCCGCGAAGCGCAAACGACTGCCCAACAAAAACCTCCCGTCGTGACTTTGTCCCAACGCGGGCACGTCTGGGGGCTCCTCCCTTCGAGGCCTCCTGGATGGGATCCGAGTAGATGGGGTCGGAGGATCGCGCCGCATCGCCGGTGCATCGGCGCTGCATCGGCGATGCATTGGCGATGGATCGGCGACACATCGGCGACATCAGCATGTAGAAACTCGGGCTTCGCATCTAGCCACATCGCCGATGCATCGGCGATGCGGCACGATCCTCCGACCCCATCTGCAGTGGTGGCCATTCCACGAGAAACCTTCCACAAGAAACCCAACCCTGAGACCCCAGGACGTCCCTTTCTAGGTGTGGGAACGTCACGCATTCCATAGCAGAACCATCGGAACCCAAGAGACCCAGGGCAGCCTGGAGAGAAGCAGGGTGCTTCTTGGCATGGGCCCCCCTCTACACGATCACAACCCTTCGACGGTCCGTGCGGATGTCTTGGATCTGCGCTGGGCCATCCTGCTCCTCCTCCTCCTCCTCCTTCTCCTCCTCCTCCTCCTCCTCCTCCTGCTGCTCCTCTCACTCCTCCTCCTCCTCCTCCTCCTCCTCCTCCTCCTCCTCCTCCTCCTCCTCCTCCTCCTTCTCCGACCCCATCTGGGAGGCCCAATTAGATCCCTGGCGAGCAGCACGCGCCGACCCGGGGCTCGGCCAGGCCAGGCCAACCCCTCGGCGCAGGCCAAGGCTCGACTGAAACGATGCTTTCCGCTCAGGAGGAGGAGGCGGAGGAGGAGGAGGAGGAGGAGGAGGAGGAGGAGGACGTGTTCGCTCTCCCTGGTTCTGTCTTCGTCCCCCCCCTGCTGCGAACCGACATCGGAACGAAAGCGGTAGGCACTCGTCAGCACGACACAAGCAAACAGCCTAGGTCGAGCCCCGGCGCAGGCTTGAAAGGCCCCGGCGGCGACCTCCAAAGTGCAGCATGCAGCGCGCGTCGGGCTCGTCCCCCGCGTGCCACTGCAGGTCCTCAGACTGGTGGGCGTGTTTTCCACTACCACCACCACCACCATAAGTTGGAGGGGGGGGTCCTCCTGCTCCTCCTCCTCCTCCTCCTCCTCCTCCTCCTCCTCCTCCTCCTCTTCGTCCTCCTTGTCCTCGCCCTCCTCCTCGTTCCCCCCTCCGACTTATGGTGGTGGTGGTGGTGGAAAACAAGCTCATCACAGACGCCGAGCAGGCCCGAGCGGCGAGGCGGGCGCCGCCGACTGGGCGCACGATGGGAAGGCTCCCCCATGAGATCCTGGCGTTGCAGCCACAGAGATCCAGCGCATGGGAAAAGTCGAGACGATGTTTTGTTTTGCCCTTTTCGGCCTCTGGAGGCCCTCGCCGGGCCTCGGGACCGTCAAACAACGACTCAGGATGAAAGTCCGGTCCCGGGGAAGGGGTCGAGACTTCCGGGGACCCCGCAGTGAAAAAGTCACCACGTCGGATCTCTGGGACCCAGGGCGCTAACGGATCGATATCTGGCCCGAAAAACGACGCAGACAGATGGAGTCCGGGGCTTCGGTGGTGTTTTTTTTTGCGGTGCGCGCATGCGTTTGCAGCGCCAGATCTGACGGTCCGGGTTGCGCGCAGACGGCCCCTCCGGGTAGTGCCAGCTGTCTCCCCCGTGCCCCCGTTGAGTAGTCCCAGCTGCACTCACCGGGCCCCCTGAGTAGCCCAGCTCGGTCGGCGGTGGACAGACCTCCCTTTCGCAGACCACCCTTTCATGACAACGGCCTGGGGCCGAGACCGACGGGCCTGGACCCGCAAAAAATGACGGCCGCGACGCCCTCGAGGGGACCGAAAACAGCCAAGTCACTAATCGACGCGTCAGGGGAGGAGGTCTATCAACCTCCGAAACAGACTCCCCCCCCCTGGCGTCGCCCCTGAGAAGGAATGAGGAGGAATGAGGAGGAGAAGGAGGAGGAGGAGGAGGAGGAGGAGAAGGAGGAGGAGGAGGAGTAGAAGGAGGAGAGAGGAGAAAAAAAAAAAAAGGAGGCGAGGAGGTGAGGAGGAGGAGGAGGAGGAGGAGGAGGAGGAGGAGGAGGAGGAGGAGGAGGTTGAGAAGGTCGAGGATGAGGAGGAGGAGGAGGAGGAGGAGGAGGAGGAGGAGGAGGAGGAGGGCGCTAGGAGGTCTATCAACCTCCGACTCGGTCCGAACACCAGGGTGCCGCCTGCGGCGGCGCCCCATGGGGCGCTCCGCGCCCCCGGGGTCGTGGTGCGGAAGCCGCCTGGGGCTGCTCGGGGGGGCCCAGGGGGCCCGGCTGAGAAAGACGGTCCCAGAGATGCAGCGCATTGGAAAAATCAGGGCGGAGGTCTTTCGCCGTTTGCGGCCTCCAGAGCTCCAGAGGCTCTCGCCGGGCCTCGGGAGCGTCAAACAATCGACTCAGGACGTCGAGCCGGTCCTGGGGAACGGGTCGAGACTTCTGGGGACCCCGTATGGAACAAGTCACGACGTCGGATCTCCGGGGTTGGTCGTGGTGTTCGGCGGTGCTTCAATGGTGCCGCAGCGTCGGATCTCAGGGTCCCAGACATGCGACGCCCTGATGTTGTTCACGGCGGCGCCCCTGGACGTCCCGACCCTTTCCCCGGGGCCGTTCCAAAAATACGTTATCATTGCTTCGTTGTAGGGAGGTATTTGTTGACTCTCTTCGGCTTCGAAGGGGGGTACCAATATCTCCATCTTCCTCCCGAGTCGTCTTTTGACGGTCCCGAGGCCCGGCGAGGGCCCCCAGGGGCCGAAAGTAGCCCAAAAGCCGCCCGTTCTGATTTTTTTAACGACGCCAGCATGTTCGGGGGGTGTCTCTTCGAGGTCAGCAGATCGGGCTCTTCCGAGCGCGTGTCCGAGCCGTGGTAGAAGCACATCGTCCGGAGGTTCTCGGGCCACAGGCTCGTCCAGTCGCCCTCGCTGCCGTCCACCAGCGTGCCCCCGAGGGAGAACTTCCCGGGCTGGCACTCCTCTAGGACGAGAACAGAAGCCACAAACATAAACGTTTGGCGCTCCGCGCGGATTTCTTGGATCCGCACTGGGCTCCCAGGGGCGGCGCCGGAGGCGCCGCCAGGGGGCCCCACGATCCTCGCAGGTGCGCGGCCCACAGGGGGGGGGGGGGCAGGGACGTGTTGAAGTAAGAAGGGGCGCCGCGAAATCTGGGGAAGTATCATGCCCCCCGCCATGATCTCCACGCACAAACCCTAAGCTTTGGCGGTGCGCAAAGGGGGTGGAGGGGGTCGGGGGAGGGCTTTCTTGAAGGATGCTGCTTCTTAGAAACGCTGTCGGCCTTACGTCTATAGATAAGGCACGCAGCCTTCTAAGAGCAGGGGTGCTTCTAAGAAGCCCTCCCCCCTCCCCCCACCCCACTCTGCGCGTGGCTGATAGTCATCACCCCCCTCTTGGCCGCCCCCGACTCCTCGCAGCCGACTTCCAGGAGAGTCTGCCACGTGTCTCGCACTCTCACCGGGTTGCGCGCCAGGGACGTCGTCTGGTGCTGCCCAACGCCGCACGGGTGGTGGCAAGGCAGTCCCACCCTGGCAGGGAGAAGCCTCCCCAGACATGATGTCGTCGTAAAAAAATCAACACGGAAGGTTTTTCACAACTTTCGGCCCCTGGGGGCACTCGCAAGGCCTCGGGACCGTCAAAAAACGACTCGGGATGAAAAACCGGCCCCAGGTAAAGGGTCTGGACTTCCAGGGACGCTGTCCTGAAAAAATCAGGATGTCGCATGTCTGAGTTTGTCACATAGCGAAGGGCTGGTCCACATCTCCTCACGCCCTCCTCCCTCCACCTGGAGAGAGGAGGACGGGACCCAGACCCCCTCGCGCGGTGCAAAAATCACGTCGGGAGTTTTTGTTGTCGCTATTTTCGGCCCCAGGGGCCCTTCCTGGGCCTCGGGACCGTCAAGACGGCTCAGTATGAAAAACCAGTACTAGGGAAGGGGTCCAGACCTCTGGGGGCCGACGTGGTGGACAGAATCACGACGTCGGGGGCCTGGGGAGGGGGAAGAGAAGCGACCTGGATTTCTCAGCCCTGCCGGCCGAGGTGGCGGTAGAGGAGACGCCAGCGGGTGCGACGAGTTGCACCGGCTTGCTGGAGGAGGGAACGCAAAGAGGTTGCGCGACATGCCGCCGTCCGCGTCCTCGGAGGGTGGGGGGGGGGGCGGCCGTCTGCACAACAGCGTCTAGCGGCTGGCACGCTCTTGGGGACACCAGAAGGTACCCGCACCGCTGCTCCCCAGACATCTCCTAAGGTGAGTTCCGACCAGAACTTCGAGGGGAGTGCGGCGGTGGCGACGAGGGCACCCCAGGAGGCCCCCAAAACGGGAAAACGAGGCAAGGGTAGCAGCAGGGGCACCTTTCAATCTTCTGATGCTCGAGCTCTTGAGAGCCGACGTTGCGAAGAAGATGCAGCATCGCGCAAAATCGCGACCTGAGCCCTGGACCCCATTTTTTCTGCATCCCTTGTCGAGCTGCCTCGATCCGTGGGGGTCCCTGGGGGCCCGAAAAACCCGACGCACGCGCCCGGTGCGGAGAAGTTGCGACGCCCAGATCTGGGGGATTGCTCTGCCGGGCGCCTCTAGGGGGCAAACAAACCTACCTCGCTTTTGACCACCCTCGCTTCCAAGAGATACCAAGCGATGCCAAACTACGGCCTGTACTGGTCAGGCCGCTTGACGAGGAGGCGCGTGGTATGACTGTTTTGTCTGGAGCGAAATGCGTGGTAAGTAATTCACTGCTCTGAACTCGTCCTCCTCCGACTTCGCGCGGCGCATATCGTTCACTCGCCAACATGGAGTGGCGGGAAGCCCAGGGAGGCCCGACGCGGTGCCGCGAGCCCGCGCCGGGGCACCCGGATAGCCACCCGCTGGCGCGCACGACCTCACGCGGAAACCGAAGTATTGCAAAAAAACCCAAGGATTTGCAGACAAAAACCCTTTTCAGGGTTTTTTTTGTTTGCATCCTTCGTCCCAAGGGTTTTTTTTTTTGCAATCCTTTTTTTGCAATCCAAAGGCCCCCAACGTCGGTGCTCTCTCATCATCTTCCCCCCCAGTAGCTGGACCCCCAGACCGCCCAGATGTCTGGACCCCCGACGTCCCATGATGGTCTTCAACAGCGTCGACCCCCAGCTCCCAGATGTTCTGAACGCCCTTGCAGACTGGACCCCCGACGTCATGCTTTCTTCACCACTTCGACCCCCAGATGTCTGGACCCCCAGATGTCTGGACCCCCGACGTCATGCTTTCTTCACCACTTCGACCCCCAGATGTCTGGACCCCCAGATGTCTGGACCCCCGACGTCATGATGTCTTCACCACTTCGGCCCCCAGATGTCTGGACCCCCAGATGTCTGGACCCCCGACGTCGTGATGTCTTCACCACGTCGACCCCCAGATCGACCCCCGGGTGTCTGCACCCCTTCCCCGGAACCGGCTTCTCATCCTGCGTCGTTTTGGGGGCCTGGAAAGGGCCCCCGAAGGCCGAAAATGGTTCAAAACCTGCCGTCCTGATTTTTTTACAACGCGAGGGGACCCCCGACGTCATGATTTCTTCACAACGTCGACCCCCAGATGTCTGGACCCCTTCCCCGGAACCAGTTTCTCATCCTGAGTCGTTTTTTGACGGCCCCGAGGCCCAGGAAGGGCCCTCGAAGGCCGGAAATGGTGAAAAACCTCCCGTCGTGAGTTCGTTCACAGCAGCGCGAGCGGGCCTGGGGAGCCGGGAGCTCACACGGCTGAATCCACGCGCACGCGTGGGGCGTCCAGAGGCCACCCACGGGAGCCAGGAGCTCACAGATGCCGTGCGATGGTGCCCTCCCACTTCCCCTCCTCCTCCTCCTCCTCCTCCTCCTCCTCCTCCTCCTCCTCCTCCTCCTCTTCCTCCTCCTCGTCCTCCTCGTCCTCCTCTTCCTCCTCCTCCTCCTCCTCCTCCTCATCCTCCTCCTCCCTCCTCTG